TGGCAGTGGGAACAGAGAAGAATGAATTTGACATCTGAAAGGGAGAATCAAAAGGATTTGGAGTTGGATTGGCTGTGGACGTAAAAAATTGGGAGAGGAATCTTGAATGTTTACTTGAAGGTCCCTGGAATGGCAACGAATGACACAGCAGTTAAGGTTATTTGGAGTCTACAACTTAATTTTTTTCTTAGACAGTTTTTAATGTTTTTGTTTCCAGGAGTAAATAATAATAACTAATAAATAGTGCTTCCTATGTTAGGAACAGTTCTAAGCATTTCATATGTGCTGTATTTTATTGAATCTAAAAGCCCATTAACTATAAGATGCACCATTATCCCATGTACCATTAGAAGAAAAATACTGTCAATTAAATATGCATGACACACAAGACACACCTGATTTCAGGGATGATAAAAATAGCTATCCAGCCTCTATCCAGGTAGCCAGTGGTAGGGCCAGGATTTGGCCCCCTGCAGTCTGGCTTTGAAGACTGTACTCTTAGCTCCAAGCACAGGCATTGGATAAAGCACCACATTCAAGTTCATCACAGTCTAGGGACTGAATATTCGTGTTAGAGATGAAACTAGAAACACCCAAGAAGCAGCACCTGCTTTGTAGTTCCACCCTCAGTGGAAAACAACCCTAGAATACAGAGGATTGAATCCTCAGGCCAGCGACTGCGGGAAGGGCACCATCCCGGCACCGAGGACCGAGTACACCTTGTTCTACCTGGCAGAAAACACCATGTTCCTTGCAGTGTGGTTCCTGACTCTCTGACATTTCTTGTTGGAGAAGGAAGATGTATAAATGGGCATGTTTGAAACAATCATTTGGCAGAGAGCTGTGCTGTTTCCAATATTCCAAAGGCCAAAATGTATGGGACAAAGAATTAGGACTTTGGGTCATGATGCGGAGTGATTAATTGACTCATTTTTATCAAGAAATATTTACTGAGAGTGTGCTATTTACCAGGCAGTGGGTTAGGCCCAGGGAACCCAGAGATGAAGTAAGGCCCAGACTGTCATCAGGTCTAGGTGGAAAGGGTGGTCAGACAAATACATTCATTACAAGCCACAAAGGTAATTGCCATGGATTTACTTCAAATCTTTCAGAATAATCCAAGGATGAGGAAGTGGTGAGGGTATAGCTGAAACATAATGGTTCATGTGTGAATTGTTGAAGCTGGGTTTTATGTACATGAGTTCAATACACTATTATACTTCTAAATATGTTAAAAACTTTCCTAGAGTAATGAAAATGAGGGAGAAAGAAAATAACAGGGTGAAGAACATGTTCAAAAGGAGTCCATCCTCCATGGAAACAACCTAAGTGTCCATTAACAGATGAATGGATAAAGAAACTGTGGTATATGTATATGACGGAATATTACTCAGCCATAAAAAAGAATGAAATTTTGCCATTTGTGGCAACATGGATGGATTTGGAGGGCATAATGCTAAGTGAAATAAGTCAGACAGAGAAGGATACTGTATGATATCACTTATATGTATTATTTGTGTTCTAAAAAAGACAACAAACTTGTGAATGTAACAAAAGAAGCAGATTCACCGATATAAAGAACAAACTAGTGGTTATCAGTTGTGGGGGGCAATACAGGGGTGGGGGAGTGGGAGGTACAAACTGTTGAGTGGGGACCTCCCTGGTGGCGCGGTGGTTGAGAGTCCGCCTGCCGATGCAGGGGACACGGGTTCGTGCACCGGTCCAGGAAGATCCCACATGCTGCGAAGCGGCAAGGCCCATGAGCCATGGCCGCTGAGCCTGCGCGTCCAGAGCCTGTGCTCCACAACGGGAGGGGCCACAACAGTGAGAGGCCTGTGTACTGCAAAAAAAAAACTGTTGAGTGTAAGATAGGCACAAGGATGTACTGTACCACCCGGGGAATACAGCCAATATTTTGTAATAACTGTAAATGGAAAGTAACCTTTAAAAATTGTATAGAAATCAAAAATGTTTAAAATTTTAAACAAGGAGCCCATCCCAAATTTAACAAAAAAGGAAGCTTTATGGGCTCTATTTTAAAAAATGATATTTTAATTAGCCTTGAGAGGTTGTGACTTAAGGAAACTAGAGTGCCTGCAGGAAACTGCCAAGAACAGGCATATAGTATTGCATGGCATCCGTGTTCATTATTATTGTCTGTAGGATGTGTTAAATTACTGTGCATTTTAATAATAAAAATCTGCAAAAAAATAAAGGTATTTATTCAGTACAGTGAAAGCATGGGAGAATGAGAAAAATATTCAAAAGGTGAGTTTTGAGGAGATGGTGGCCTCTGGATATAAGGACAAGGGGAGGGCTTCAAATGAGCATCAGCAGAGATTCAAAAGCAGAGAAATTAAATTGATATTCATGAGGTAGATGGCAAGTCTAGGGGTCAGTCAGTGGGAAATCAGATTGAATAAGGTAAAGTGAAATGGTCTAGGACTCTTTATTATCAAAGATAGGAGTAGGCTATATCTATATATATTATACCTAACACATGTCACTTAATAAGTGACAGACATGCTTGTGGTTTACACTCAATGGGTCTTTACAATACATTCTTGAAAATAATAAAGGTAGGGACTTCCCCATTGGCGCAGTGGTTAAGAATCCGCCTGCCAGTGCAGGGGAGACGGGTTCGAGCCCTGGTCCGGGAAGATCCCACATGTTGTGGAGCAACTAAGCCTGTGCTCCACAACTACTGAGCCTGTGCTCTAGAGCCTGCAAGCCACAACTGCTGAGCCCGAGTGCCACAACTACTGAAGTCCGCACACCTAGAGCCCGTGCTCTGCAACAAGAGAAGCCACCCAGTGAGAAGCCCGGGAACCGCAACGAAGAGTAGCCCCCACTCACCGCAATTAGAGAAAAGCCCACACGCAGCAACAAAGACCCAAGGCAGCCAAAAATAAAAATAAATAAATAAAAATTTATTTAAAAAAATAATAAAGGTAGTATTTTTTTGTGTATGAAAGTATTCAAAGTGTCTTGGAAATCATCCTGCATATTTTGGAAAATAAGCATTTTCCATTTTTTTTCTAAATTGAGGTATAGCTGAGTACAATATTAGTTTCAGGTGTACAACATAGTGATCCAATATTTTTATAATTATACTCCATTTAAAGTTATTATAAAATATTGGCTTTATTCACTGTGCTGTACAATATATCCTTGTAGCTTGTTTATTTTATACACAGTAGTTTGTACCTCTGAATCCCCTACCCCTATCGTGTCCCCTATCGTCTCCCCTTCCCTCTCCCCACCGGTAACCACTAGTTTGTTCTCTAGATCTGTCCTTCTGTTTCTGTTAACGTTTTCTATTTGTACAACTTGCTTAAAAGGCCTATTTTATTACCACTCTGAAGCCCATGATCTTTCTCTCCCTTGGGACACCGCCTCCCCAAGGAGGATGGCAGTCCTGCGTATTTTCTCAAAAAATGTCTCAGGCGGAAGGTAGAATTTGGACTGGAACTTTAAGGTAGAATAAGGACAGTTACAATAGGAACAAAATTGTTGAGCTCAGAAGTCCTTACTCTGCCATGAACAATATAGCTTGTGCTCAAAGTGACCCACCTCAGTTATATGAAAGTGAAGTGAGTACTACTCTCCAGTTTCAAAAGGACCCTTTTGCACAGTTAACCGACACTTTCTGCTGAAGTTTCATCTAACCACACCAAGAATTCTTAAGTCCTCAGATCTAGGCAACAGTCTCTAAGTAACTGGATGATCAACAGAGAAAGTTTGTGAACTTTCTGAAAACGATACTTAAGTGAGGGTCTGTCTGTCAATACTGTCACACACCCATCTCAAAAAACATCAGGTTCAAATCCATTTCTTCCCTGATCATCTCTTCTTTTACCTTTTTTCCCCTCTTCTTACTACGCTTTTTCTTTTCTTTCCTTATTTAGTGAGACTGCCAGGAAGAAAATTTTCTCTACCTTTCTAGGTTCTTTTGGCTAGTCTAAGAATTAAATTGACATCAGATTAATATGTGAAAATCAAACAAAAGTGTAATAACATGTATACATGGGAGGGACCCAGGAAAACTGAGTAATGCACCAAAATGCTGGAAACCCTCATCTTAAATACCATCTTCAGCTAAAGACAAAAAAGATTGTTTCGGGCACTGGTTTGAGACTTCAAAGGCAAGGAAGGCAACTGACATGGAGATTAAAAAGCAAATGTTTGGTAAACAAATGCTTGCTGGGTATCACAGAGACAATGGGACACAGAGGGGAATTTTAACAGACTTTGCTAGGTTCCTCCCTGTCTACCACACCCAGTTCACACTCTAGTTATCCATGGAGACGGCGCCCTTGCTAGAACAGGTCCTCTATCTACATTCTTCTAGACAGTGAAGGGGAAGGTCAAAGTTTTTTCCTGTGTCTTTTGGGCCTTGATTGGTTTCAGCTAGAAATAATCCGCGCGCCAAAGAGAAATTTTGGGACGGCAAATTTTGCTCCCCTGCAGAATGAATGTCAATTCTAGATAAAAATATTTTTAAATACCATTTTTAAAAAGCTTTTATTTCTAATGGAATATTGCAGGAACACTGGTGAGAAAAGAACTCACTTCCACTCTGAATTCGCTCCCAGGTCGCACTCTCTCCCTGGATTCCCTGACCAGGCCCCCCAAAGCCTCAGTCAGCCCAGACAGCCTCGCCCTCCCGGGTACCTAGACCCTTCGGCCTGAGCAGAGACCCTAAGAGCTTCCTGCTCCTCCCTGCTGAGAAAAGGGAAAGCAGTTCTTCGCCCTCCCCATATTAAGGTCACTCCCAGCCCCGCCGCCTCCGGGACCTCACTAGTTAGCCTTCCCTAACTGCGCCACTTTCCCACTTCCGGAACCGGCGCTGTTTCCGGCGCCCGGAAGTGCGTCATCACCCAGCGCCAGCGCCCGGGCACCACGCCGCCCAGGCGCCCCAGGAGGCCGTGAGATTAGGGTGCTTGCGTGCACTGGAGCGTCCTGGACGGGAACGGGGGTGGCTGCTCTTCGGCGCCGCGATGCAGGTCTCCAGCCTCAACGAAGTGAAGATTTACAGTCTCAGCTGCGGCAAGTCCCTTCCCGAGGTGAGTCACGTCGGGTCCTCCTCTTCGCGGGGCAGCCGCCCCTCTCCTCCTCCCTGGTCCTGGTAGTTTCAGCTGGGCCCGGGCCGGCCCCAGACGAGTCCAGGGACGGTGCCTGGGGGAGCTGGTCCGTGCTGGGAGACGAGGACAGTGCTGTTACCGCAGCAGAGCCTGGGCCGAGGGGTGATCGGGATTGATGAGTTGGCTTGAACTTTTTGGGAGTAAAGTTCTCTAGAACAGAGGAGCTGTCCCTTTGGGCTTGTATAATGTTCACAGCCGCTGCCACACCGAGGAGGAAAACGTGGACAGATTGGTTGACAGGTATTTCTCCCCCATTTTAATGCCCGCTCATCAGCTCTTCGTTGAATTCCTGTTATATGCCAAGTTCTAGAAATACAGCAGTGAAGAGAAATGCAGACTTTGCGTCAGCAGCATTTATGATGTGGACGGCAGTATTTTTGAACCTTGCTGAACTTAACTTGATTTCGTTGAGTCTTAGGACATCAGAATTGGAAGGCGTTTGGAAAGTCAGCCATTCTCTTCCAATCTTTTCATGTTGAAAATATGCAAAAGATCCAGCGAGGGGAAGGGTGACTTGTCCAGAGTCATCCGCCTAGGCTCTGTAGCTTGTATGTTATTTCTCATAAGGGCTGGTCAGGCTGCTGTCGAAGCACTGCCAGTGAGAAGAAACTTGGCAGAAGCTCTTCCATTTTGAGACTGCTTGTTAGACAGTTGTTTTAAAACATGCCCCCTTTCTACATGCCGCTGTTGGTCTTAGTCCTGCCCTTGGAAATCAGAATAAGTGTAACTCTTCCTTGTGTCCGACCCTAAAAGATTTGGAGCCAGTGATTAGATTCTTTTCAGAATTCAGGTTAAATAACTCCTCGTTCTCCAGCTGTTTGTCACACAGCATGATCCTTCTCAGTTTGTTCTTTGGTTCTGCACATTTGCTGAGACGTGAGTACCTGCAGGCAGCCCTGTTCTAAGTGTTGGGATACGTGATGATCCGGTCAGATAAGGTTCCCTGTTGGGGAAAAGGATAATAAGTAAGCAAATAGAACAACTTCAGATACTGAAAAGTGCTTTGAGTGTCTATAAGAGAGCACTTGTGGATGAATTGTTTTAGAGAAAGTGGTTTGGACTCAAGCCCTCAGGGAAGGCCCCTCTACAAGAGGGTAACATTTGAACAGAAACTTGGTTGATGAAAAGGATCGAGTCTTGTGAAGATGGGAGAAAGGAAGAGTTTTCCATACTGAGGGAACAGAAAGTGTCAGTGACCCACAATGGAAGGCACTTGGCACGTTGGAGAAACAGGAGAAGCATGGTTGAGGCTGTGGAATGCTCAGTGGGGCAGGAGAGTGGGGACAGCTGAGGTTGGAGAGGTGGGCCTTGTAGGCCAAGGCAGGAAGTTAGGGTTTTATTCTTAGTGCTGTTGGAAGCTGTTGCTGGCTTTCAGACTGGCTGCTCTCTGGTAAATTACTGCAGCTGGGGAGGGTGTGAGTGGGGATGAGTTAGGTGGTCCAACTGAGAGACGGGTGGCTTGGGCTAGGATGGTTGCAGGGGAGATGCTAAGACTGGGTGGGGTAAAGGAGGTGTTTTGGAGGTAGGCTAATGGGACTTGCTAGTGGGTTGGATAGTCGTAGGGAGTTGAGGTGAAGGAAAGAATCAAGAGAGAACTCTTAGGGTTTGGATCTGAAAAACTGGGTACACGGTGTTGCTGATAACTGAAATGGAGCATTGAGCACATTGGGGGTCGGGGGAAGGTAGTGAGCAAAAGGAATGAAAAGTTTTATTTTTGATACTGAAGGTTTGATGTTCTAATAAACATCAGGTGGAAATGTTGAGTAAACAGGTATGTGTATCCTGTTAGGGAATCTCTCTAAATCTTCTTTTAAAGTAATTCTGACTTAACAAATTGCCTATTTTGCTTTACCTACTTCAAATGTAAGATCAAGCAGGGTTTTTTGTTTGTTTGTTTTCTTTTTCAACGATGGCGGGGTGCCTGTCCAGTGAGAGAATTAGGTCATCAGCATTTCCAGAGCTCTTTTGCTGGGTTTCTGGTTAAATTATTTGGCATTGGTAAAGTGACATTCTCTATCAGCTGTGGTTTTATAGAGCACAAAGAGGATGCCTGATATCAGTGACAACTTTCAGTTCTTTGGTGAACTTTTAAAACTTAGGCTGGTTCATTCCTGCCCCGTGCTGACTCTGTCTGGTGTGCTCTCCTGTAGTGCTGTCAGTTTGTACAGAAACTCCAGAGTGAACCGTATTTCATCATTTTTCAACTCTTTTCCATCATCACTGTTGTAAGGAATTTCTGACTCTTGTAGGTCCCAGGCTCCCGTTTGGAAGGCAATCTCAGTCCCCTCCCCTTTGCCCCAAGCTCCTGATGTGTGAGGCCAGCTATTGAATGAACTGCCCCCTTCTTTAGCATAACTCCCTGAGAAGAGGAAATCGAATCCCCTGTTAAAGGAGAAGCCCTTTGTTTTGCTTCTATTAGGTTGATGTAGAAGAATGCATCGAGTGCCCAGAAATATAGTTTAACATCACCTTTAATTGAAACATTTCTGCCTAAAATGAAATCAGAGCAGTGTGATCACAGAGACTAGCACAGGCCTGTAAATCAGTGCCCTGAAGACAAAGGCAGGAGGAGAGCTCTGGCTCAGACTCAGGCCCTTCAAAGAGTGACGCCTGCTCCAGCGTCCACACTGCCTCCGGCGCCACACGTAGGGCCTGCAGGAGTGGGACTATGTGACCAGAGAGCCCTAAAGATTATAATGTCCTGTGTCTAACATGGGCTGTATGTACATTGGGTTTGTGCTTTTAGAAATGACATCTGTTAATTTTTCTCTTGCTTTTCTTTGATTTCCTGAGGGTATGGTTTCTCAACCTCATCATTATTGACATTTTGGGCTGGACAGTGGTTGTGGTACAGGCTGTCCTGTGCATTGTAGGAGGCTTGGCAGCATCCCTGACCTCTACCCACTAGTTGCCAGGAGTGCCCACCCCTTCCCATTGTGGCAACCAAGTACACTTTAAGAATTGCCAGATGCCCTTCGGAGGCAAAATTGCCCCTGGTTGTGAACCACTGCTTTAAGGTAATCGTAATTGATTAGTGCTTCATCATTGGCACCTGTTCATGCAATGGACTTATGCTGCAGGCTAAAATAAGGTACAGGAATTACAGAACAAAATCTGGTGTCCGCGAATGTGACTTTTAAAAGTATCATTTCCTTATTATCAAGTGTCAGCTATTTGGTCAGTTATTTATCTAGGTTTATGTTTTGTAAAAAATATATTTCTTTAAGAAACTTTCTCCATTTAATGTTTGCTTTTTAAAATTTCACTTAAACAAAGTTCCGTATATTAGTTATAACCCATAGTATTTGAGGCTGACTCCTTCCCCTTCGGCTGATTAGGTGAACTAGTTTTCTCTTGAATAAAATATGGTGGCTCTAAAAATTTGTTGTCTAGTATATGTAAATATATACCAGAAAAAAATCCGTGTAACAGGATGTGAGCAGTAGGGTTAGGATTACAGAGTATTTTCATTTTCTGTGTTATATATTCCTATAAAGTTTCAGTTTTTTAATATGAGCATGTATTATTTTTGTAAGCAGAGAAACAATTCAAGTAAGTATGTTTTAAAATAAAGTCTCTTTGTTTTCTTTAAGTGGCTTTCTGACAGAAAAAAGAGAGCACTTCAGAAGAAAGATGTCGGTGAGTATTATTTTTTTCATTTCAGCTACATTTGTGATCCATGTCATAATGCTTTACTCATTTATTGTTATCATATTTAAGTGAAGGTTTACAAAAACACAGTGGAATTCATGCAGTGGAAAATAAACTTCCTGCCCTTTTCCTTCTTTTTTTTAAAAATTTTAATTAATTAATTTATTTGTGGCTCTGTTGGGGTTTTTTCTTGCTGTGCACGGGCTTTCTCTAGTTGCGGCGAGCGGGGGCTACTCTTCCTTGCGGTGCACGGGCTTCTCATTGCAGTGGCTTCTCTTGTTGCGGAGCACGTGCTCTAGGCATGTGGGCTTCAGTACTTGTGGCACACGGGCTCAGAAGTTGTGGCTCGCAGGCTCTAGAGCGCAGGCTCAGTAGTTGTGGCGCACGGGCTTAGTTGCTCCACGGCAGGTGGGATATTCCCGGACCAGGGCTTGAACCCTTGTCCCCTGCATTGGCAGGTGGATTCTTAACCACTGCACCACCAGGGAAGCCCCCTTTTCCTTCTTAAGAAAACCTTTGTTGTGCTTGATACAGTCCCGTGGGTATGGGGTTTGATTTTACCTACTTAAGCACTAGTAAGTTAGCTTGTTACTGTTTCATGGATGATAGCAGAAGACGTAAGACTCCTGGGTCAGAGACAAGGGCTGCATTACTCAGGCGGCACAGCAGATAGCATAAGCACCAGCATGCTCTGTCACCCCCCTGCCCAAGTTCCACTGGGGCACTCAGTGTGGCCCAGATGGGTGTACTGCATGCAGTGGGTTTGTGTTGCACCTGAGGAACACTGAACTTGAGAAGTCCACTGCCTTTACAGCAAGCAGTAAACAAGCCTGCTCTTTGTCTAGAGGAGACTCACCTGTGGAGGTTCCCAGCTGCATAAATAATGCTGAGAAATGGCTCAGGTAAAGGAGTGGCCAGGGCCTTACAGTCTTGCCATACCCAGCAAGACCAATAAGAATGCAAGCAGTCCTAGAAGGACTAGCTCTCCTAACAGTTCCATAATCACTTTGTTTTCCAGTTTACTCATACCTTTTTCCATTTGTTAAATCCATTTGTCAGTTTTTGAGATACAGAGACAATGAACATTTTCTTTCTGAACAGAGTAATTTTACGTACAGGACACACGGACATGAACATATGATCAGTGTAGAAGACTTGGTTCTTTAAGTTATGGCAGCAGGGAAGGTAGGTTTGTAAGACCAGTTTTTAACTTAAATCATTTTGGACAGATTTTCATTAAATTTTCTCTATTACAGCTTGTCATAGTTGAAAGATGATTAAGTTCCCACATATTTTGTTCAAGTTATTTTCTGAAAATCAAAGACCTAAGGTATCGAAAAGGCTTCTGGATGTGAGATAAATACGTCAAAGCAAGCATCTTGGAAAAGTAGGCTTTATATAAAATTAGAAATTACAACTTTAAATCAAAGGAAAAGAATAATTGCTGCTTTCACAGTGCTTACTGATTTTGATTTCTTCTGATTCTCTCATTCCACTCCAGTGTTCTACTGTATAAGAAAACAGGTTCAGATTACTTAGAGGAAAAAAATTGTTCACTGACTCCTTTCCAGCCCATCTCAAAAGTATCGTGTGTCTTCCAAATTTAGTGGGCCAT